TACTGCCTCTAAAAATTAAGACCACATTTCCCATAAACCCTGTCACTCCTGTTGCAAAGAGGGCCTTTTTTGCTTGCCCTCCCTCCCTGACAGTGTACTACATGTGTTTAATTGAAGAGCAGGTTACAGGAGCTGTTGGTAAAAAATATTTTGCAGTATGCTTTTACTAAACACATACTGAGCTAACATTAGAAACTCTTAAAGTTTCAGCTCTGTTTGCTCTGGGAAAACAACACCTTCTTTTATTTTCATTGGCCTATTTGCCAAAAGAGCTGACCAATGGCTTACAATTAAAAAAAATTTCAGTAATACAAAGATTTGGGTGAATCAGTTTAAAAAGACGATAGATAGCAGTGTACAAAGGCAGATCCCACGGTTATGGTTGGATAAAAAAAGTTAATCTTATACTGTATATATTGTGATACGTATTGTATCGACAGATTCCTGCCAATACACAGCCCTAATACTGTAAACATGGATATAAACAATGCAGGATTCAAACTCTTATGAGGGGAAACAAATATGATTTTGTTAAATCTGATGGAGAAACAATGTGATTTGGTGAGTAACATAACTTTTAATTTACAAGAAAACTCCACAGGGAACCTTTAATGTTTCTGTCCTCGTCAAAAGAAGATACTCAGAACTGTAAACTCAGTAACACAGTGGTCAGCGGGAACCACTTGAATATATGAGAATGACATTAAAAACAAGATATAAATTGGATGGTTTAACTGCTTCATTCAAATCATGTGGGTTTGGGATGCCCCTGTGGCTTAGTGGTTAAAATTTTGTGACTCGCAATGTCCCTGGTTTGAGTCCGACCTTTGTTGCATCTCTTCCTCCTATCGCCATCTTTGGAGCCATGAAATGTTGTCAATAACTCTTTCAACGTACACATGGCATGCAGATACAGTAGACTTTTCTGCTCATGAACGTGTTGTTTTCTATATACTTAAACATTCAATTTGAAACAAATGATTCAGTGACATAAACTATTTCCTAGTGAAGTACTGTATGATGTAGGAATCACCCACCTAAATCATTTTGGTCTATCACTTTGATTGATTGCCATATATGATTAATGTTTAGATGTAAATGATTTATCTATCCAACTCTTTAATTCACCACTATACCACATTTCTGTTGTGAAAGAGCACTTAACAGTTAATACTGCCACCTCTGTGGTGTCAAAGGTTAAGTGTGTAAGAGGACGGAGCTTTCCTCTGGCATGGGTCACCAGGCTGAAATCACACCTTTCATTTCCATGGAGGATAATTTCACATTACTCTCGCCTAACGCCTTGTCAGGGGGCGGATTAGTGCCCCCGAGGGCCCTCTTTTAGACACACAAACACTTGCTTTCACACCACCTCTCTTTCTCTCACACACATAAACAGAGCCTCTTTCTGTGTATGGGAGTTGTATTAACAAAAAGCCAGCTGGCCTTTAATAACAGAGGAAGCGTTTAGGCATCTCTGCGTGCTGCCACCGTGACACCAAACTGAGGCCTAACATGGCTGCAGGTGGAGCATCATCGCCATCAGGGAATGTGGCTCACAATGCAGGCAACAGAGGTTTGAAGGCACTAACAGAAACAGATGCCTCTGTGGTACTGGGAAATGTGGCGTGACTTCATCTCTGTGTGTGCATACTGGGTGAGTGTTGGTGCAGGGAGACAGATGTATGCGTGTTGTAAACACAAGCATTCAGCTCCATCAACTCCCTTCTGCCAGCGAAGCATCGCTGAAACTAACTCAATATTTACCGCTGATACATCACTGCTAGTTCCTCTGTCAGCAGGGTAATTGCCAGAAAACATTTCCAAGAAATTACCAATGAAATTTGGTGGAAGAGTACTAGGAAAAACAGTGACAGGTTATCTACAGTTTCCCTTTAAAAATGGTGGCTGGGTTAGAGGCTGTAAAGTAACTGTAATGTAATCTAACCTCAAATGTAACTGTGGTGTAATATCATTCTTTCACACATTAAAACAAATCTCTGCCCTCATCTTTGCCGAAAGTTAGCTGATGGATTGTGAGAGAAGGACGAGAAGTCGTATAGGGCAAGGTCAGTGCCAATACCACACACACACACACACACACACACTCCTTCAGCCCAACCCCTGCCATTTTGTTAAAAATGTAGATGAGAGGCGTACCCTGGAACTGGGTGATGGAGGAAACAGTTAAACAGTTTTGAATTAGATCAACAGGCCAAACTGATCACTGGTGCCAGGCACTGACTCATCACAAGAATTCTGGGAATACTGTAACTCCAGGATATTCGTACAACAATGGGGCACTTCTACTTCCACTGTATTTAGCACTAATGTAGGACAAATGCAGAATAAAGGGGTGAACTATGGTAGCAGCTAGTGGGGAGACAAACTGCTATTGTTTGACTAACTATGACGATATGATTGTGAAACATAAAAAAAACTTTTCCCAGAATTTTTGTTGGCAGGTAAATAGTCTCTGAAATAGCATTCAAACCATGGCCACACATAGTTTAACAACCCACTTCACAAAGTAGTAAGGGGCTAGATCATTTCAAAGGAGTGACCCCTACCATGAAGTTAGACTAATAATTGACTAATATCAACTTCTGGGAAGAATTCACAATGAAAATTTTACTCGAAAGCGTTGTGTGTGATAGCCTGATTAAGTACAGGTAGTCAAACATCGTGTGTGCAATTTTGGGAAAAGGTCATCACAGCAGTAATCATTTTCTCATCAGCACAATACTAAGGGACGCACTACACACTATTCTAACTGGTATGTGCATGTGCTTAACACAGTGTGTTACTGAATTATGTTGCATTTTACTGTGGCTAAAGTAAAGCTCAGGGTCAGGCCGTACAACGTTTCTTTTACTTCCTTGAGCCTTCTGACAGCGTTTTTTGCTGCAGCATCATTGTTGGTCTGACATGGCTTTCAAAGTGCTGCTAAATCCAGAAGAACTTTATCTAAAATTTGTTGAGAATTTTAGCATCCTATAATGGTTTAAAGGATTGCGGGAAATACTCTTGTTTGCTTTCTTGCTGAGAGTTACATGAGATGATTGATACCACATCTTTACGGTAAATATAAGGCTAAAGATAGCAGCCGGTTAGCTTGCCGAAGCTGGAAGCACTGAGAAACTGTAAGGTTTACTCCAAAAGGCAAGTCCACCTCCAAAGCTCACACATTAGCATCTTACATCTCATTTGTTTAATCCTTACAGAAATGGTGTATAAATGATTAGCTGTGATTGTATGAGGATGCAACCTTGAGGTTGCCAGGCAACCAGTGGGGACTCCCTGTTTTCCCTTGTTTACAGTCTTTATGCTAAGCTAAGCTAACCATCAGACATAAGAATGGTATAGATTTTTCAACTAACTCTCAGCAAGAAATTAAATAAGTGTATTTCCCAAAATGCAGAACTATTCCTTTAAATGCTGTTAAGGAGATTTGTGAGGGTGAAAATATAAAGACTACAGTACACAAAGTACTGTATAGCATATAATAACAAATAATATCACTGCAAAATATCAGCAACCACAAGTTAAAGTGAAACTACTTTTGGTATATAGACTGGCCCTTAAATAGTGAAACTACATTGAATTGCATAAACTGTAGAGCAGAAACCTGCTGCAGCGCTGCTCTCTGGGGGTTGAAACTTTCAGGCAATGTCACCTCTGACCACACCCCAATCAGTGACATCACAACAGGTACTTTGTCACTGACAGCAGATATAAAACATCAGCAGGAGTTTTCTTCCTTTTGTGACGAAACCCTCATCAGTCAAACCTTAAAAAATTATTTAAGATTTTAGCTTTGGAGCGTTTTCATCACCAACTACAACATGTCAGCATTCATTTTTAGTGAAGATCTAAAATGAAAGGTAATTCAACCTAAGGGACAACTGTTGCAGATGTGCCGCCCTTTTATATGCTGACATTAAGTCCATTCAACACACTGGAACAGTGTACAGTGAACAACTGACTAACGTCCTGGCCTTAAATATTCAAAAAGACAGAAAAATGCACATGGGTTTGTCGACTGGGATGTCTAATCTCAGCCTGCATGCTTTTGAACTGCACTCCATCAGGTAAAGCTTCAAAATTCCAACTTGTTATTTGTCACACACACTTTCCCATTGTGCCTGAGTATGAGAAAAAAACTAATGATGATCAAAAAGGAATGACAAAGATGCCACATGTGGCCTCTAAGTTTATATCTCTTCTATTCCCAGCATGAGGCACAGCGCTAATTTTGGAAAAGATAAAAGTCCCACACATTTCCTTTGTTTTTATCAGAAATTTTCTGGGAGGCACTTTGGAGCAGAAATGAGCACTGAATGAGATCTAAACGGCTAACTAACAGGCTGTGAGTGTTGAAATGACATTTCTAGAGCTGTAACCCAATAAACAAAACCCTTGCAACAGGAACAACAGAGTAACACAGATATAGGATGCATGACTGAAATAAACAGCATCAGAGTGCAACAAATGTAGGCTATAGCCTCTGTTTGGCACAGGCCTACACATCTAAAATACACTGCTGCTAAGAATATCCATCCTGTGTTAACACCTTGTTTGCTTATAACAAATGAAAAATCTGCTTTTTTTTAAGTGATAATTTCACCTCTTCCCAAATCAGGTTCTAAAGCAAATGTCACTATCTGGAAATAGGTCAAAATAAGGCAGACTGCTTAAGTAGAGAAATATGAATAGAAATATTATGTCAATTTAATTCAAACTAAGTGAGAGGTTGGAAAGAAATGATCTCACACACTGCGGAACAGATCATTTTTAGAGGAAAGCAAGTTTTGGAGACTTTATATCAACTTCTAAATGACTTTCTTTACTCTTTCGGGGAAATGTTGGGTTAAAACACTTGTTTAATGGGCATGTTGTAGAGTGTGTTTCTGTGAATGAGAAGCAGCTGGGGAGTGAGGTGTGAAGTGGGGGTTATTGTGTGTGTTTGGAGAGCCCCAGACGCAGCGGTGCGCCCTTACCCTCGCAGCCCTGGAGGAGTAGGGATCCTCGAATAGATTCCAGATCACCGGCTGCCACTTCCTCCACAGGCTGACATTACCGTCGGCAGCCACATCCTCAATGCCGAGCCTCTTCCCTATCTCGTCGTCCTCGTCCCCGTTGTCCACGTTGAGCTCGAACACGTCCAGAGCCTCCTCCGCGTCCCGGTGCTGCCGGTATGTCATCCAGCAGCAGGGCTCCACGTCCGTCTCATCGATGCCCCAGAAGGAGAGCTCCTCCTCGAACAGCGGTCCGCACACATCCGCCGGGCAGTGGAGTTTCCCGGTGCGGTAGTAGTTGAGCACGTAGGCGAAGACGCCCGGGTGGCGGTCGAAGAAGTACTCGTTGGTCCGCGCGTTGTACTCGATGAAGCCGGGGACTTGTTGCAGCTGATCCAGCACCGAGTCGATGTCCGAGTCGGAGGCGAGCAGGGCCAGTCGCGTCCCCGGCAGGGTCTTCAGGGTGGTTTTGTAGGTTTCGTGTCTGGTGCCCCCGACGTTGAGGATTATCCTCTCGTTGTCGTCAAACTTGCCCATCGCTCTGTATCAGACATGACTTGATGGAAAGCGGGGGAAGTTGGCGAGTGCAGTCCGGAGGTAACGGCGAGCCCGACGCGCACACACCCACAGTCCAGTTCAAAAAAGCTCCAGGATTTTGGCCGTGGTGCGCAGCATCTCCGATTTCACTCATCCGACGCTTTCGTGGCTATTTAGGGGGCCTAGGAGGATGTCCATCGTTTGTTAAGGGAGATTCTGGGTAGGGGGAGGTCGTCGATTTGTATCCCACAATCCGCTCAGACAGTCAGTGCTCGGAGTGTTGAATGATCTCAACCGGTGGCTCCAAACAGACTGCGCTGCTGCTGCCGTTGCGCGTCTCCGGCGTCCCTGCCCTCTCCAAGACGCACCACCGCTCGTCAGCGTCGGACTCGTTACTCAAGAATATGTAACGTTCCTTTCAAAAAAAAGTAATGCCCGCTCTTTACTCATCACTCCTTGGGAAGAACAGGCATCCAGTACACACCTTTGTAGTTACACTCAAATGTTGTTGTTTCTTTGTTTTATAAAATCAGAAGTTGGCTTCGGAGAAATTAATCAGCGCTCATCTCCGGTGTTCTCACAAACCAGAGGGGACTGTTGCATCCTGAGACAGGGTTTTTCTCCTTTAAGCTGCTTCAGTTACATACAACAACCAATCAGAAAACTGATACTGGGGGCTGAGAAATAATAGGACCGAAAACAATTTTAATTTTACAGATGATAAACTCTCAACTGACTTAGAAATTTAAAGCAGGGATACCAACAATAACTGTGATTTAAGCCTGTCTTCCGTCAACAAGTCATTTAAAGACAAGTAGCTTACAGCATCCTTTGTTTTTATCCTTAAATGATTCCAGTGGGTTATGATTACTACCTGGCATTACAGGTTTAAATGGATTAATTTATTCTGATCCAGGCCTATGGGATTTCACATGTGTGTTTAAGAGGAGATGAACTTTTTCCTCTGAGCATCACAGAATGAGGCACTGCCTTGTCTTTAGAGCCTTAACATCCACTTTCCAGATGCCTGTATAAACAATGAGCACATGGCTAAGACTGGATTAATCCCTTCTGTTGCAGCATCTAGCTGCTGAATGGGCTTTGAACAAGTGCCTTTATCCCTGACACTAGGTACATGTGAAATATGACCCTCTGACTTTACAGGGCAACAGTCCCGGTGGTGGTGGAATAGGGCTGAAACTAGTTGATTTGTCCATCAATTATTTTGAGAATCAATACAGTTTTTGGGGTTCCAGCTTCTAAAATGTGAAGGTGCCAGTTATCTCATTCTAAATATCTTCAGGGTTTGGGACAAAACAAGCAATGTGAATATGTCAGCTCAGGATTTAGAAAATTGTGGTTGTTTTTATTATTTTATTGACATAATGATTAATTGATTAAGAGTGAAAATAAGTGACAGACTAATTGATAACACACATAATTAGTTATAATTCTAATAATTATTAGCTGTACAAGAGGTAGGGTCAAAAGTAACAATACTAGTATTAATGTTAATAATTAGTACTATTAGATATAGTTAGAGAGACAGTAGCAGTGCTTTAGCTCTTCACTCTATAGGTGTCACAAAACAATAATGCATATATGAACAAACATTTCTTACAAAATAACAAAACCAAATGTTTAAGCACATAAGAGGAGGAGATTGAGGTGGTGGAGGGAGCTGTCAAATGGAGCTGGTATGAAGGTATCAGCATAGTAAAAGTGAAATGTGTCCGGTTATAAAGGCCTTGCTGTACAACTGCATGAATAGGATTTGAAAAGGTCCAGTGTGTAACATTTAGGAGGATCTATTATGGAATATAATATTCACAAGCATACTTTCATTAGTGTATAATCACCAGAACATAGGAATTGTGTGTTTTTGTTACCTTGGAATGAACCGTGGGTCGCCTACTACAGATTCCGCCATGTTGAACCACCATGTTTTTTACAGTAGCCCAGAACAGACAAACCAAACACTGGCTGTAGACAGGGGTGTTGGTGTTTTTTGCGCATTTCGGACCAACATCGTTTCTCCTTTGTGCTTGGAAGAGGAGGGTGAAGCAGTCACAATCAATCTGCAATTGACCACCACTAGGTGCCACTAAAGCACAGGATCTTTAATGATACAAGTCAGCTGGTAGCCAAGCAGGTGAAGAAGGAGTCATAGATGGTGAAGTTAGAAGGAAGCAGCTGATGATGAAAGTGAGTTTTCTGTGCTCTGACTGAACTAATGCAATGTTTCATTAACAGTAACAATACTTGAGTTAACAAACTTTATTTAAGAGTATGCACAATGTAGGCATAATATCAACTGGAATAATAAAAAAACATAATTTGTTTTGTAAACTGCCACGTGGGAAGTTCAACATTGGGTCCCAAATCAAGCCCAAAAAAAGATCTACGCAAGTGCAACAATATAGAGCCAATCAGAGCGTTTCTATGAAAACAACATCTGTGGAGAAATGTGTTTTTAACTGCATTCCTGTCTGAATGAAGAGGTGATGAAGCGTCATAAATACACAGATGAACACGGACATGTTAAGCTAGAGCTTCGTTGAACTGGATGTGGAAGGGAACCCAAAAGGTATTATGAGAGAAAGAGATTCTAAGAAACCTCTGCACACTTGAAACTGAAAGGTTCTGTGGATAAGAACAGGGACGCAGCTGTCTACCATAAGGCCTATCATCTGACAGTCTCCACTCACCACAGCGTACGAGGAGGAAAAAGTGACATCTTTAGGGAATCCAAGCACAGCTCAATCAACAAGGAGACACGGCAGGCAGCTTGCCTATAATTACATGCATCATTATTCTCTGATGTAAGGCTGCTTTGTAAAACTGCAACCTCTGAGTAACCTAATTACTCATTACTTGTCTTGATCAAATGCTGAGAAAAATATATTTTTCTGGATTTAAAAATGGAAATAAACAATAAATTACGTTTTTTAAAATTATCATTTTATTTCAGTATAAATTATGCTGACATATCTTGGTCAAAATTTTAATAGCTCTTCTGAATTAATTGGGCCTAAACTGGCAGAGGGAACTGGTCTACAATCCAAATTGGAATCAAGTAAATTAATTTGTCCATCCATTAATTGCCTCACACTAGTGACAGAGACAGAGGAGATTCCCATTTATAGTGACAGCTGTTCACCCATGTTGCCAACATAGAGATTTGGAATGTAGATGCAGTACGTGAGATCCAGCTTCAGCTCCAGCCTCAGTCTGTGAATCTGGTCGGTATCAACACCACGACCCCTAAAGACAATGTCCTTTGGAGGTCTCTGGTGCTTTTTTATTAATTTGCTGAGAGGGAGGGAGCTAGCAGAATTGAAGGCTGTGATTACACTTTAAAGGTTGTATACTGATATGGAAATGAACATGTGTCCTCATCTAGGAGATTGTTTCAACTTTTGAGAAGTCAATATTTGTTTATCCTATTGCACTACTTTGCTAGTTTCTGTTGTGAAAATGTATCAATTGCAAGCTACTGTTGGGGAGGGGAGAAGATAAGTTGGTGAAGCAGGACAAACGGTTTTAGGGTAAGGGTTTATTCACTCAGGTTCCATTAAGCTACAATGGAACACAATGGAAAGAAGCAGCAACTGCTGTGGCTGCATCAGTGTATCATCTGACCACAAACCCTGTTTGTTCATATGACCAGCAACAATCTTTAGTCGAGCTTTCATACTTGCTTGACTCAATCTAATGCATGCAGTCAAACAGGCTGTATTTCTACAGACACAGAGAAGATACCATCTGTGGTCAATTATAATGTTACTGAACATTATGAGTAATAATCTCATAAAGTGAATTGACAGTTTGGGGTTTCTATGCCACCAGTATTTATAATATACAGTATTGAAAGTTATATATAGGGAAGAGAGAAGCATGGGAAAAATTATTTCTCACTTTCGTTAACATTGCGAGATAGGTCAATTGTAACACTGGTGTTGGTGTTATGCCAAAATGAACTGAATTTGTTGCGAGAGAGAATGATATGCTGTGACTTAACGTACAAGAAAACATTACAGCCACCTGAAACATGAGTGCAGAAACAACACTTGGTCTGCACTCCCCAGGTGCCCTCTTAGTTGTAAGTGGATTTGGCTTTAACTCGAGTGTACCAACGAGTGGAGTATGATTGCCACTGCACCCGACGGACCTGCTGTGGAGTTCCTTAAGAAAATAAACCATTCTACATCAATTACATTTCCAGTGTAGTTTCAGGGTCAACCGACCAAGATAGGTCAATTTAGTTCATACAGTACATGAACTCTTTGAAAAACATCTACTGTGATGACATTACTCATTTACTCACTGCTGCTTCCCATTTCAATTTAAAATGAACCAGCTGGTGAATTTTGAAATTGGGGTGTTGAGGCCTTTTAATGTTTTACTAATGAGGCCATTCATCACAGAAGACAAAGTATTTGGGACTATAGTGGGTCAAGACGGTCCTTGCCTATAAAGAGCCATTCTTGCGCTGACCAATCCAGGAAGCAAATAGCATTCAGAGTCCCCCCCCTTCCCTCCCTGTAATATCTTCACTAAAAATAGAGCAGCCAGATTGCTGATCTTTATCGGGAACTGGAGAGTACAAAAAAAAACAAAGTCTATTGGAAAGCCAAGGTCCTTGGCCAGTCCATTTTCCCCAAGTAGAGCCACGGATCAGTCCCTGGGGGGGCTGAAGGCTAGACAGGCAGCCTTGGCTGGTTTCAGTCCAGGTTCACAATAACATCAATCAGAAATGCAAGAATAGGGTATGATATGATTATGCTCAATGTTTTCTAAGTAGAGGATTTTGAGAAAAGAAAAGCCAGTTCCAATGTCTTATTTCAAACTATATCATAGGAAAAATGATGCTTGATAAATGAATAATCTAATTTAGGCCACAAAGAGAACAGAATTCTTCAAATTCATTACATGAAGTTGGAATTGATACAGAAAATGCAAAGGCAACGGGACAAAAGAAATTCTGGTCAGTAGAATAAAGACGAGTAAATGATTGTATCTAGTTTTAGTTTCAGAGAAATAATTGAAATGTATACTATTGAAATGTATTCCTTTCACTGAACTACAGAGCAGTGACCTTGTCAGACAGAGGCAGGGAGAGTTTTCTGGTCTTTCAGTCTGAACTTTCTGTACCGTCCTGCACAGACTGTCTGCTGGGTTTATATCTGATGAAGCACAATACCTCTGCCTCCCTCCCAGAGGTCTGACAACGCAATCCTGCTGACTTTGAAGACATCCAGAGAGCAAAAGGACAGTTCTTTGTCTGAAACCTAAAATATAAACTCTGCTATTTCAAAATGCCCCTTCAAATAAAGACAAAAAAAAGAAACGCTTACATGTTGAGGTCTTATTTCTATCACAGTATGAGCGCAACCATACAAAGGCCAACTGAGCTCTGTGTCTTAGTTCCTTTTGAGGTCATATGAGATAATTTCCATCACTACTATTTTCTCATCACATTTGTTTCAAAGGGCACTATAAAGTTGGGAGACTAGCAAAAGACAGGAATTAAGAAAAATTCAGAAAAGACAAGGCAGCAGAGGTTGGAGTCAACCAAAGAAAAATAATATTCACATAATTTCTAGGTTAACTAAACCACCACAGTGTTACACAACATTGCCAAAAAAATGGATTCCTGCAGTTTGACCATTTCGTTTTTCATTTTCACACGTAGCTATACAGCATGGCACGCCATCAAGTAAATTTACATACAGGAGCAAAACACACACACACACACAGGTAAGGATTGCAAATGAAAATGGGCTTCTGTATAACAACAAAACTAATGCAGTATAAAGCAATGCAGCCATCCAGAAAAAGAAACATGAAAAAACTGTTACCAACCTTCTGCTGTCGTTATATAGCTGCCTTCAAATGAGGCTTAACATTCAAATAGTTTCAGTCAGCTGAATACTTTTAATGTGAAGCAGGAGCAGTAGGACATGTTGGTTAGTATTAGCAGTAGCCTAATACAGCTTTGATTTAACTGTAGGACAGTGAACAACAAACAGTGAGGCCTAGTAATGAGATAAAATTATGCTGCATTAAACGCATCATTTCCTATGGCCCTCGTGCTCAGGTAGAATTAAACATGGGAATGGCAGACTGCAGTGAAAACTATCAAATACAAAATGTATTATACACTGAATAGCTATTGCTAAAATAATGTCCACCTAAAGCAGCATCTAACACTGGATTTGATTCAATAAAAATCTCAAGTATCATAATTTTAATATGTTAATATTTATGCTAGGAGTGGGAGTAACAGAGTAAAGAGAATGAATTTCTCCAAAATGTAAACCATTGCTTTGTGCAGTAGTTTAGTGCGTAAAGATGGAAGGACTCCCCGAGAATGACTTGTTAATCACAAAGTATACATGCAAAGTATATGCTGTTTTAGGGTTGTTTTTTATTTTACTATAAATGGGACCTTACTTCACTAAATGAACATCATGCTGTGTGGAAGAAGAATTGAAACTAGAGATTGAGACCATAAACTTATTATGAAACTGTTTACTGAGCTCATAAATCAAGTGAGAACTCATATTCTCCATCAGAGTGAATGGGATCAGTGTGATATTACAGCCACTGGAGCCGCCCCCTGCTGGCCTTTACATACAATGCAGGTTTTAAGACACTCAGCATTGGCTTCACTATATAGACCCATTATATATACTATCAATGGTTGCACTGGATGGACTCACTGAGAATGTCAATTACAAGATGGCCAAGCTAATATACCCTACTTTACTGTCTATTTAAGACTTGAAACTAGCAATTGAATCTAAACTCATAAGGAAACCGTTTACTCAAGTGGAAGTAGGGTCATTTCTCCATAAGACTGAATACTATTAGTCTTCCTTTTTGCAGCCCATGGAGCTGCCCCCTGTTGGTTATTAGAAACAATGCAGGTTTAAGACACCTGATTGACTACACTGACCCGGAAGCTCTGTCCACTACTTATATACTGTGAATGATTTCCCATAGAGTAAGTATGTCATCTTCTTGCTAGTTAGCACTCTTCTTCCTTTTGCTCATGCGTTTTGACTTTTCTTGGCACACATCACTGCCAGTGTCAACCAGTGGAATATACTCCAGATACAAAGAAAATGGGAACCCACTTCCAAAAGATATTGCCCCATAGGGCTATTAGCAGTCAGTAACATTTTTGCGACATTAAAACGACATTTTACAAATCAAAATTAAACAAGTTACACAACTCTTTTCCAATTGCCCTCCTTTAGTCCCCAACACTTACATTTACATTGCCCTGATTAGGACAAGATAACCAAGAACGTTTGGGGAATAAAGCGTTCCATCACAGAGGCAATTACTGCAGTGAGAAATTACAACCAAGTCATCAGATTGATCAAAGAGCATGTAAACTGTGACAATAAGAATATAAAGCATGGCTAAGCGCCCTTTAAACATTTCAGTCCTTCCACAAAAAAACACTTTAACACCCTTGAGGATGTTTTCTGGTGTGATTAGAAGTCCAGTGTAGCCCTGGAGGGAGTGGTGGAGGGAATTAGTTGTGCTCACGCAGTCCCAGCTGCAAACACTTTCAGCTCCATTCACAACCACGGTGTACAATAAAAAAAAACACATTATCCTGCTAACCACAGGCCCTTAGATGGAATTAGGCAGAAGTCCCAGTGGAAGAAAATTGAGCTGATTAAATGTTGCTTTCCTAATTGAGAGAGCCAAGCTAATTTGCGATGAATCCCAGATCTTTTTCCTCCGCTGCATGAGAGGAAGCCATTAATAAACTCTGTATGTCTAATTATAAGTTATGACAAGAGGGGGTGGTTTATTTCACCAGGATACTTTCTCAAGTTCTCAAAAATAGTTACAGTGTGTTGGAATTTATAAGGAGGGGAGCTTGTACTGTAGTTTGATGTTAATTGCACATTATTTTTATGATTTCTACACAATCTTTCAATAAATCCGTTTATTTCTTATTTTCTGTTATATAAATATATTTATATTTATATTTATATATATATATAAATAAATGAAAACTGAGTATATAATAACTTGATATATGGATATATAATGATATGCCCTAGCCTTCAGTGCAGCATTAGAGCTTATTTACCTGACTGCCTTTGCTGTAACTATGTTCCTGTGGCGCCATCTGCAGGATACAAAGGGAGCATCAACACTTCCTTCAGCTTGAATCCAGTGCAGGGCTCACACACTGTAGCTGACTGTGGATCTGCAGATGCAAAGAAGAGGTGTAACACTATCCAGATGGAGTATAGTGACAGTTATTGATAATAGAATTAGACAACATACACCAGGCCAGATAAAAGCAGCATGACAAACATGCAGTCTTTTAAAGGCCCCACACACCCTCGTTTTACTCTTACAAGTTGTTTTCACTTACTTTGCCTGATTCAACCTCTTCTCAAGACTGTGCTTGACTGGTGTTGAGCATGCAAAGGCGGGACAACCATGAGACTGCACAGCATTTTTATCAATTGTCCCACATACTGAGACAATGTCCCACATTTTGATTGGCTCTAGTTTGCCAAAGTCAAACCACTGCATGAGACATGCTTTGCTAAAATCAGTTTTTTATCCAAGGACAGAATATGATGAAAACTACCACATATAAGAGGGAATGCAGCTACTGCTTTAAAATTCAAACTGGGTGAAGCTGGTGGAAGGCGACAGTTGCACAACACCATAATAAGAACTGTAAAACTTTAACTTCCTTTTATTCTTACTGCATTAACTTAACGTGTGAGTTTCATTCAAGTCCTTCCCACACTAAAGGTCAAACCTGTAAGCTGCATAGTCCGCTGTATGCTACTGAATCAACCAGAGGGTTTAGACATGTTACAAGCTAAGGGGCATAATAGAAATGTTTATTTTTTAACTTAGATAGACTTTATATCAAAAGGTATTACTACTACATCTCAGTATTGGTAATGAGTCCCATACAAACTCCACTTTTAGTCTGATGGGATGTGGACACCCTAAATACAGCCACACTTGACCTTTCTTTTTCACAGCAGCCATATTGGCATGAACTAGCAGGTAAACACAGCTTTAATTAATGATACTAATGAAAGTTTATTTGCATTAGGTGTAATAGAGCCTTTCCAGCAAGCCAACATGCACAGTAGCAGCTAAGATTCAAATAAGATTCCTAGTTTTTTCAATATTTTTTAGTGTTGTGTCTCAAAGAAAAGTCGTGGCTGCTGTGAAAAAGGTAGATACCCTGAAAGTGATTCAGCTAAATGAAACTCAGTGATCAATAACTGTATTTTTTTCACCTCTGCCTTTCCTGCTGTGTCAAAATGTCTAATTCTCGTCTTTAGTGGGATGTAACCAGTTATGAGCCTTTTCTGCACAGAAAGCTGCTCATGAGCACCTTTCAGTTGCCTTTTTGTAGTTTTTGGTCACTCTCACTGTCATAGGGTTGTTTTTCAGCCGCAAGAGGCAGCTGTTAATAGGGGGACAAAAACTAGCTTGTAAATATATTTAGTAGCTAAATTAGCAAGATATTTCCCTCAGAAGTTGATGGAGGGCGAAATAGCACTTACATTCATCAAGTGGCCAGAAAGTCGACTCCAGATGAATGCTAATGTTGCTCTGTGTTGTGTAGGAAACAAACAGAATAAAGAAATTCGGATTTAAACAAACTGACCAACGATATCTGTAGTGTTACACATCACCTGTTCAAAAGTCATGCAGAGCAACAGTGTCACTTTGTTAGTCGCTTTATTTTCTACTAAGGCGAGCTGAGTTCCCTCACTCATCCCCACGTGAAACACAACATTCAATACAGAAATGGAACTATGCATAAATGGGAAGAACTTACAAAACATTTACAAAATAAATTAAGGCAAATATTTGTGGTTCTCAAGGTGTGGCAATAACATATTACATGTAAAACTTGTGTGTGGGAACATAGGAAAATATGAAGGCGACCCAGACATCCTGTAGTGTGCACAGCTCAAATATCTACTCACTGATAAGGCAATGATTTTTGGGCTTCACAATAAGAAGAATTCATACTTTGATCTATTATGACAAATTCTATACAAGCATCTCGTTTAGGCAAAAATGATAATCACTACTCTCTATGTTGATTTTTATCACATTTTACATCAACATATGAGCTACTATTATACACTGCACAGTTAAATGAAATGACTGTGTGCTAATCTGTAACAGGCAGGGACATATAATGTAAAACTGATCATACATACTGTGATTAATGTCTGATGTAACTCTGGTGCAAGAGTGTTTTTCATTTAAAATAAAATCAGGAATTAGGTTGTTGTAATTAGAGTTAGAGTACCGTTATAGTAACTTGATGTCAACAAACAACAGACAACATGGAAACAACCTGAAAGCCTCCTCACAGTGACCTCTCACAAGGATATCAAATCACAACTTCACACAATTATTGAAATATAAGGCAAAGTGATTCCTCTCTACGATACTGGTATCCAACAAACATGGAAGCATGCAAAATAACGCTGGTCTAAAAAAGTAACACAACAGTGGAAAGAGAGATGTCAGTTCATGTGTTTCTGTTTGATCAAATGATTGTCATTATCCTCTCGAATAAATACATTAAAAAACGTCATGCAGTCACAATGTGCAGGCAAAAAATCATCAAAATCATGAAAAATAAAATCATGCAGTTACGTTTTGATGTATAAACATGTCACAACCCCGAGTTCACACTTTTAGTGTACGTGTATAATATTCTGCAGTCACATCCAGCAACATTAGTGTCAATCCCTTCGAGATAAAAATGAATTAGTATATGTTAATAAAATAGGAAAGTAACATTATGGCAAGATTTCTATGGGTTTTGTCATGAAATAATTCATCTCAGCGATTTTCTCATACCTAGCAGGGGTTGAGGGTGGCATTACAGGATGGCACAGAGTTCAGACAATGAAAACAATGACAGCACATTTTCTCTACACTAACACACCTGTGGCATTTATCATAGTGGAATTATCACGTCAAAAGACTCTTTTCATTGCAGGTTTTCTCGTCATAGCAGGAAAAGCACTGGTGGAACGAATATTAACAATGGTTTTGTTCCATTCAATTGTCCCAGTAAGACATGTCAGTAAGCCATGCACGGTACCAGGACCCACGAACTGCAAGACTTGAATGGAATGCAGCCATGTTTGTTATTATTAGTTACACCTGTGTTCGACGAGTTGTCCACCATGAGAAAGGAATGGGAAAGGCTAATAAGCAGCAACAGGTGACACTGACCACTACCTCCTTCAGTGTAGATTATACGCCTTAAATGTTTGGATTCAGCATTCGAGCACAGAGCTAGTAAAACAAAAACTATGTATAGAATAATGTAGAAATCCCATCCCAAAATCAGGCAAGTTTAAAAATGTGATAATAAGTGACAACAGGTAAGTAAAGGACATTGTGGGCTCCATTTTCAAGTCAACACAAAGACTTAAATAAGTACCTCTAACCTGTGGTTCCTACGTCTCTGCTGTATTTTTGTGCCCAGTGCAGTGCGCGTGGTCCAAAAGTGAGAGGGTGGGGAGAATGGATGTCTGAGGACCTGGGGCAAGATGCATAAACAATATGTATGCACAAACAACCTTCCTCACACATATCAAAACACAGTGTGTGGTGAGAATGTTCAATCATGCACATGTTTCTGTATACAGATCTGTGGGGGATGTTAAGTTAGGAATGAAAATAAGGGGAAGGACAGAATTTTATATTACAGAAACTTCTTTTCTTAACTGTTGGGAACCACGGTTACCAGGGTGAGGACCTTATTTAGGAAAAAAGCTGTTCTGATGAGCTGTTCCAAAGTCAACGTTCCTGTCCTGACTTAAGATAGCAAAAGTGAATAACATAAACATCCTAACTTCCCACAATCTTAAATAAACATTCCTAACGTTAGGATAACTGTTCAGCTGTTCTAGCGTTCACTTTTCCACCAGGTAGTGTTAGCTAACTTGTGTAATCCGTCCAGCTGCTCTATTATTGTGCATTTCATCAGTTTTCTTCTGCTCTTTGGTCAGAAAAGCTGCCAGCCTCTTTATATCACTTGTCATTGGGCTTATTTTAAGATAAGATGAATTTGGTATTGCAGAAGCAAATCCTAACTAACCTTATCAATAAGCAATCTTATCTTGAGATAGGAAGTTTCTGGAGCCTCTCATCTGTGTTCAGCCCAATGTTAATATTTGGTGGTTCTATCTAGAACCACATAGAACAGATTTGTAATGCCACACATGCTGCTTGGTGATTTTTGTGTCACACCCCACTGTGATTGGCACAGCTATTAAAATGTTATAAGACAAGTAATGTGACTGACTGAGAGGATGATTACTAATCCCCAAACACCTTTTGCACACAGCACACTGCACCTATACGAGCAATAACAGCAGGAAAACAGAGCCCTATGTGTTTACTGTTTCTTTCCTTATGGGGTTATTGGTTCTTATGAATGCAATATATATGTTTTGGATGAATATGCACACAGCCTTTTGGAATGAAAGCCTTTCAGGTAATAAATATTCATATTAATTCATTTCTGTACAGTGCAGAAGTCCTGCAGTGAGTTCATTCAGGCCTGTTGCGTCGTCTGAGGCCTGACGCACGCTGCTCCGCTCCGACCTCCTCAATGTTTGTCTCACATGAGTCCTCTAGTGAAGGCATGAGCTCAGAGTACTCCGGTCCTTCTTTCTCCTCCTCCTCCTCCTCCTCCTCTTTATCATCCTCCTCCACATTCCCTTCTTGCTCTGCTTCCCCTTCAGATTCCTCCGGTATGAGCTCCTTCATCTCTTCACCTTCAGTTGCAGCTTCAACTTTAGCTTCCAAACTCTTTTGATAGACCTTTTCAGAAGCCTCTGCTGTTCCCGCAGAGCTCAGCTTGTCCAGAGAAGCTTCCACTGCAGAGGTGTCATTGGCTCCGAGTGACTCGATGAGGTCGTCCAGATTACGCCCGCAGGATGCCTCTGAAAGTCACAAAACAAGTGAGTATTGAGTGAACGACATATTTGACGGTTAATCAGTAGTAAAACTACACTCGTAAGTGTTCTATTAAAAGTTAGTTTTTACATACAGTGAAGTCTCAGAGAAAAGCAGAACACAAACAAATTAACACTCCCTAAGCCTCGCCCCTTTTTGCTCTGTGCTCCAATAACAGTTGAGCAAGCCTCGGTCAGCTTCCTCTTTTCCTGTAGTTAGATGAGCTATGTGCTAGAAGTCTATGTTGGAAAGACAACTACATTTTAGTTCATCACAAAGGCACTGGTATGTCGCCTGATAAGTAACAAGTAACAGCTGCACAGAAATGCCAAGCATGTGTCGCAGTAACTTCACATAGTGTGTACTGTATATTTCAGGTGTAAAATGTCCAGCATAGTGCATATTTAAGTTGCAATTCTTAAAAACAATATTATGGGATGCTTTAATAAAAATATTTTTATTGTGTTATATAGATATATCATTATCTGATTTTTTTTTATTGCATCTGCTTCCAAAACCCACAATGAGTCCGGCTGTTTACAATCCTGAGTAAAATGTGTTTTGGAAGTATCAATAACCACCCCTATCATATTGTCACCAAAGTATCAAGCATCACAAATGCATATTAGTTTGGAACCTCTCAGTCAATTTTCAATTTGCAACGGGTGTTAACAACCAGTTAGAGCAAACATATTCAAGAGCGTGAGTAGACAAGGCTGTATAGGCGGACTAGTGAGTAGATTAGTCTCTGTGTTTGGCGTGCTGGTGTTTAATGCCACCAACTTTTGGAAGATGAGTTTCAGAGTTCCCAGGTTGGGTATTTACTGACTGTTTGTGTTGCGGAACGAAACTGGAATTTTTTTTAAGCTTGTGTTACCACAGTCCCTATCATAGGCAACAAACCAAAAACACACCCACTGACCTTGAGGCGTGAGAATCAGAAGTGTGAAATCGTTAACTCAGTTCTGAGTTTCATTCTTGCAGCACTCTATGGCCAGATGCATCAGCCAGAGCAAAGGAAACATCATGAGTTTGGCAGATTCCTCTGGTTCATACACTAATCTTTATGCAAATTACACTTCAACGACATTCAAAAGAGCAAAATCAATGTGGCTTCTCAAGTTGAATTTCAAATTGTGGTCACTACAGCACACGCAACACTGGTACCACACCACCACAGTTTGCCAGCTGTGACTGCAAAACTGAATCTCTTAATATCTAGCTTGCAGTTTGCCCTTGTGGTCTTTTATTAAAAAAACACACCATCACAGCATTCTGTACTATATGTGTGTATGCTACTACAGGTTTGTGATGCCTGAGCTCACTGAGACCAACCGTGTGAATAGTAATTGCTAAAATTGCATTCGAGTAAAAACTGGAATATCGTGCAGTGTGAACACAGTCAAAGACATTCAATCAGCCCACCGTTGATGTTAAGGGGCGGACAGTCCATTCCTCTCTTCTTCATCAGGTACCGGATGGTCTGGAGTTGAGACATGATCTCATTCTTCTGCTCCTGGGCCACAGACTTCACACTGAAGACAAATGAGAGGTGAAAATTACATGAAGATGAAAACACATTTACCTCAGAGGAGCGTCGATGGTAGGGACAAAGGGTTATTGTAGTTAACTAAAACTAAACTTAAAGAAACTAGGCGTGAAAAAACATTTGACTTAACTGTAATAAAAATTAAAAATAAACTTTAGAAACAAATGAAAACTAGCTGATATGACATTGTGTACTTACAAAATATAGAAATATAAACAAAAAATGACTGGAATAACTACTCACTATGACTGTGAGTCAATGTGTTTGTACTGTAATACCTATTCTGAATCTCTTGCCACCAACATATACTCCCATATTATATTATTACAGTAAAACTAAACTGACTAAACAATTTTAAACAATTCAAACTGACCAGCATTTTCACACCTGCTGTTTTATTTGACCAACAGATGGAGGCCTATCTAAAGGCTGCAAATCTAAATACAACCCTGATCTTGTGCTATCTGGATCAGAATGAACCTATCTGAAAATTCTTTGACAAACCAGGATAAAACCTAGATTCAGTTTTATTATTTATGGCATTTGACACACTGGGCCTTGGAGGATCACAGCATGTGCACACTGACAGTGATTGTCTCTCACCAGTTAGTGATCGGGTCCAGCTGGGTGAGGATGGAATTGAGCATCCTCTCCGTCTGCGCCAGCCTTTGTTCCAGCTCGTTCAACTGGTTCTCTGCACAAAAACAAACACAGGGAATAATATAGTCATATCTGAATTACTTATGGTAATCAAATATATGTTTGACCAAGAAACACACAGATATGCAAACAGAAACCGCAGTCCATGCGACACACACCTGCCTCCACTGACTTTTTGGCCCCTTTTGCAAATTTGTCCTTCTGTGCTTGGTCATCTGCAGACTTGATCTGTGAGTTGGAAAGAACAAAGCGATGTTTCACATACTGATCACCTTTCAAAGTAAATTCTCTCAATGTAATCTGGTGTTGCAGGTATCTTTACTCACCTTCAAAAACTTGTAGGCAGCAAACACTCCAACTCCGATGGCGTAGAGAGGCATCAGTGTGAACACGTAGCCCTTGTTGCTGTTGGATTTGTACTTGTCGCCCTTCAGCTCTTGCTCCATCAGCTTCTTCATCTGCTGCATGTTCTCAGGGGTCTGAGGTGAGCCGGGGGCGTTCAGGTTGATGGGCTGACCTCTCACTGCACCCGGGCCCGGACCCGCTGCTACGAATATATCATGAGGACAAACAGACAGGGGACAGATGGTGAGATTTCTGTGAAAAATTCAGCCAGACTGAGGTATCCCATGGAGGACTCACAGCTCACAATTTGATACAATTCAGGACACTGGGTTCACGACATGATTTTCTTACGATTTTTTTAAAAACAAAATTAGATTGAAGACAAGTTATGACTAAAAATGATTCCTTTATTGATGCTCACTTTCCTGCATTCGCGTATGTGTGACCGTACCAAGATACAGCAGTAGCTGTATTGTTGCTGTACTGTAAGGTTATATTCAAGTCATCCATGAATGGTCTCAATGCAACCGTCACACAC